CCCCCCCACGGGCAGCATCACGAGCGCTCACGGTGTCACCTGTGTCGCGGGAGCTAAATAAGATGGCCTTGCTCTTCGGCACCTCAGCCCGAATGTGTCTCCATAGTTTTTTGTTAGTTTCATCCAAAATGTTCAAGATCCCAACAAACTTTATTTTCTAAACCTGCCTTCCTTCTCTTTTGTGTCTTTTATTAACCCCCAGGGATGGGGAGGGCAGCAGGGAAGGGAGGAAGGAAGGAGCAGCAGCCCCGGGTTCCGGCATGGCCCGGGTGCCTCCGGCCTGGAGCTGCCAAGTCCCTGCCCAAACTGGTGCAGAACCATTTCTGATGGGAAGAGGCGGCTGGGGACTCCAGCCACCCCTGCCCAGGGATGACAACAGCCCAGCCCGCTGCTCCCAGAGAGCAGAGAGGGCTCTTGCTGCCAAGGGGCTCCTGCCGGTCAGACAGCCTGAGCCCTCACAAAGGAGAGCAGGGCACATCTCACACGTTCTAGGGTTCACTTTTTGAACTCAGAATCCTTTAAAAAGTAGTTTCCACAACCATTTGGGTTAATTTAATGCAAAGGGATTTAAATGCAACTTGTGAAAAGCTGCTGGGCTCAATCAGAATTCAGGGTGAGGCACACGCCCTGGAGCACCCAGTGTGAGACGTGCTTGGCGGTGAAGAGGTCGGCCTCGAATACTAAGCCGACACCCGTGGCACTCCTCCTCCTGGACGTGGTGTACACAGGTGTCCGGAAGGTGTTCTGCAAGGGAAAGCAGGTGGCCGAGGAAGCTCCGGGCGGGCTGGGGCGGGGCGGAGCGTCGGAGACCCACAATGACCCGACTGTGCCGGGCACCCTGCCAACCCCAGGGAGGCCTGGCTTCACGGACACACCCCTGGCAAAGGTGGGTCCGGGCCAAGGCCCAGGAGGGCACTGCCATCCATCCACACCACGGTAGCCACTGTGACTCAGCGGGGAGGCTACAGCCCGCACCACAGCACCTCAACGAGCCTGACAGGAGGGTGCAGCACCCCAGCCCGTCGCGGGCAGTGGCTCCAAGGCTGAGCACTCCGATCCAGAAGGCACCTCATCTGGGCGGGGACAGAGGCCTGGCCGGGACAGAAAGGTGGCCCTCACCTGCAGCTTCAGGCGGTGGGCTTCAATGGGGATGATCTTCAGGACGGGAAGGTCCACCACCAGCACCTTGGGCTGGCTCTTTACCAGGCAGCCTCGCTCTATGTCCCAGTCAGCGCCTTCCAGGTACAGTCCTGAGACAAAGCACCCTGCAGATGGCAGAGGGGCCAGGGACACGGGAACAGATGGGTGTACAAAGCAAGCGCCCGCACAGGCTCCCCCACCTTCCCGCCCTGGCCACCGCCTCCCCCAAGAACCTGCCACCAGGGTCGGAGCGGGCACAAGCAGCCCTGGCTCCCCCAGAGCCAGAGCCAATGGGAGCAGATGTCGAGGCCCTGCGGGTGCATACACAGTACAGTCATCTGCACAGACAGACGGGCGGCCAGACACTAGCTGGCGCCACCTCGCTGGGCTTCTGCAGCTGGCACCTCGGAGCACCTCTAAACCCTTCTGTAAATGCCCTCCCCTTAAGTTGCCACAAAAGGGCTTCTGCTCCTTGAGGTTCAGTGCCCGTGGACTGAGGCAGCATGGGCCCCAGGGAACAGCAGTCCGCAGCTGTCATCTGCAGAGCAGTAACCAATGTCTTGGGGACTCAAAGTCATGTGATGTAGTGTTGCCAACCAAGCTGGTCCATGCCCTTGGGCACCCAGCACCCTAAGGGGCCCCCTGAGTGGCCCATGTCCCACAAACCATCCCCCTTAACCTCAACACCAGGTCTCCCTGGGGAGTGGGGAGCAGGCAGCGTGCGCGCGCGCGCGCGCGCGCACACACACACACACACACACACACACACACACACACACACACACACACACACACACACACAGATCCATCTATGGCCAGAAGTTTTAGATGAAGCATCCTTTCTATTTTCTTAAA